CCGGGTTGAAGCAGGAGAGCCTATAGCCCAGTTGTTGCTTCTTCCATGTGTGGAAGGTTGTGCCGCTCTCATGGAGTGTGTGTGGGGGTTTTGGAAGTCCCTATTTTTGGGAAAGATACTCATACTGGAAAATGGGAAAGAGGTGATGTTCAAATTTGGAGGAGAGGATCTGCTTGTGTCATTACAGGTTGAGGAGATAAAGTGTGGTTACCTGCTAGAAGAATTAAACCTCGACATGAGCCACAAAAGAGTCAGACTCAATCTGAGTCCTCCGGTGGAAAAAATGAGAGTGGTGCCACTACAGCACCAGCCTTGGATAATAATCAGGAACATTCAGAAAGCACAACCCCCAATTTAGGAACAACGTGAGAAAGTAACCCATCATGTCCAGAGCTGGCTGCATTTCAGTGGAAAATATTTATAGCTGGTAATATATTTTCGGCCATGCTGGCTGTCATAGCCGCTATGATAGGCACTGACTTTGTAAAATCAGGTGTGTATGCCTGTACTAATTTATGTTATTGAATTTAGATAGCTTCCTGGTCCGCACGATACACGGGGACCATCTATAATGACAAATAATGAAATTATAAATTTTCAAAATTGTAATAGAATTGCTACAATATGATTTGGTAAAAGGTTTGTTTGAGTGCACTCTGATTTTGTGTAAATGTTTGTATGTTCTGTGTACGTGTGACGTGTTTGTCTGCCATTTTGTGAATGGCTGTTCTCCTTTGTTTTTGAGCTCAACAACATTTTTTCATGATACAATTGGTGTGCAAATCTAAAAGCATGCTTTCTTTTAAATTACCAGCTGGTCTAAACAAAGATATTTAACTAAAGATATTTAACTATAATCCCGGAGCAGAAAAATGGTTGGGTAGGACTCCAATCAGTGAATGAAGAGGTGGCCAACCTTTATTCATTAATAAGGAGCCTCCAAAGATCTCCAGAGTCTCTTGGGAGATACTCCCAATAATTTGGTAATGGTTAAAAGTGTTCCAAAAAAATAAAACACAAGGTGCTCTCATTAGAGATGTTCTTAGTACAGAACTTACTTAGTAAGAAGCAAAGGTTTTCACATGTGTATGATAATTTAATATTATTAATTTCATGGTGTATTGAAATGTATTCATGATTCTGGGTGTATAGTTCTCCAAAAGGTAAAGCAAGGGTTGCTTATGATGAGACTTTTGTTCAAATTCAGACCTTTGCCTTTAAAAAACTTATGTATATTTCATTAAATGGTAACAGATTGGAGAAAAGCTTATGTATTAGATAGAGATGATTCACTGAGAGGGTTAGGTTATGTCCAAATGAAATTTTAAGTGTGGTACAAAATGTCATGATTGTCATGTGGCAATGTTACGTATGGATTTGGTTTCTAATTTCAATGTACAAATATATAATTATTATCTGTCAACATTCTAGAGGGATTTAAATGATAGGATGCTTCTTTTTTGTGTGTATGTTTGTTTTCCGGTACGGAGAATCGAACTCACGACCTTGAGCTTGCCAGGCAGGCGCTGTGCCACTGAGCTAAATCCCCAGCCCCAAGGATGTTAATAGTTGTTAAAAAAACAACAGTTTCATTTTATGTTCTAAAGTGTCTGATATTCAGATAGATAGTAGTGTTAAGCTTTACTGCCTCTGTTACTTCAGATCAGTAGTAGGGTTAATGTCACATAAGGTTTTGATTTTTAAATTTCTGAGTGGATATATGTAATTGTTGTTTGCTAATACTGTATTGAGATTTAAATATTGGAATATCTATGGTTGTTATAAAATTATGGTTCCATTTGTATGTTCCAAGGTGTTTGCTACTTAGATTATATCATATAATGTTAAGCTTGTTGCTTTCGTTAGGATGTTATATCATTAATCTTCTTTGCTGGATGTTTAACCACTGAGAGCTGGAGACTCAATATCAAAAGGGTAGTTTGGGCTAAAAACACAGCCAGTATTTTGGCTATGCCCTCTGAGGTCAGTACAGACTCAGGACATAAGAGAACCTCTACTATGACGTCCTGTAACTCGGTCAAGTCCCTGATTTTCTGATCAAGGATATTATGGGACCGACAGGAAAGTGATTCTATGATGTACAGTGTGCCTAAGGAGAGTCACTAAGAGAGAAAAAATCTCTCAGGCTTTCACGGAAAGCACCTTGGTCAAGCAATGGCCATGACTCATCCGGATGGCTGACACCAACAGAAGATCAAGAGATGCTGCATTTGGTTCCAAGAAGATTCCTGAGGAGACCTCACTGACCCTGATAGATAGTAAAAGGTTAAAACTCTTATTTATACAAGTCTCACTCTAACTCAGTCTTAGATATCCCGCAGAAAAGTGTGATCTCAAGATATAGATTGAAGGCCAATCACTGTTATGGACTCTGCACTATGTTCTTATTCGTGCAAACATCCCTTGTCATTTCTTGTGATGTTATCATTGTATTTTGCCTCATCCCCGTGGTCTAGCAGAGTTCATCCAGGAAACGCTGAGAAACGGAAGACAGTTGGTAACCTTCTTGCTAACGCTTCAAAGGACTGCATTAAAACAAGAAGGGGGACCTGTGGGGAAGGACTGTGATTGCTGATGAACTGATTACTGATGGTCGGCTTACGGTCCCCAGCTGTACGGAGTGCACCTGGTGCGGGGTGTGGGCAGCTCGCCCGAGGATGGTTACTTCCTCCTTTAAAGGGCAATGAATTACTCCGGTGGGTCTGAGTTACGTTCTGGGTTCTAATAAAAGGCGATTGAGATGGGTGATCGGGGCTGCTGCAGTCCCAGAGGCTGTGGGCCCCCTGATCCCACACTTTTGCCTCTTCTGTTCTTCTTATCGTTTACCTTTTCTTATCCGCCGGACCTGTCACTACAGATAATACCAGCAGAGCCCCTTCTCCACCTGTCCATGGGCCTGTTTGGCGGGGGGCAGGCATGTTTTAAAGCGAAGGGAGACACTGCGGACAGCGGGGCAAGAGTCCTTGCTGATCACTCTGCGTTGGTTTCTTTTGAGGCAGGCGGCTCAGGCCACGGTCAGGCTTCCTGATTTATTAAAGGCAGAAGAGGAAACTCAAGCTGCAGGGTCTCCATCTACTTAGTAACCACATCCATGCACTTAGCGGCAGCCGGGGGCTGCCAGGAGCCCCCTCTGGTTCTCGATGCCTTCCTTCCTGCTGGCCTCTCCCTGTCTCGGCAGAGCCTTCTAATAATAAAGCCCATAAATCTTTTAGTGGGCTCCATTCTCCTCCTCTTCCTGCTGAAAGCCCTGCACACATTTACCGGCTTCCAGACGGAACCGGGGACCCGGGGACTCACCTGTGATCCACCTCTCTGAGGGCTTTGGCTATTCTAGGCTTCTTTCTTTTTTAATTTTTAAGTCATATTGGAGATTGAATCCAGGGCCTTCACACTGGGCTACATCCTCAGCCCTTTAAACATTTTTTGTTGTTATTAAATTTCTGAAACAGTTTTGCTAGGTTGCCCAGGCTGGGCTCAAACTTGCAACCCTCCTGCCTCATCCTCCCCGGATGCTGATGTGCGCCACCATGCCCGGCCTCTGGGCTTGCTTTGGCGCTGTGTAAGAGGAGTCGCCCCTCCTCACCTCTCTCCGGCTCTGGGGGTGGCTTGAGAAAGGGGCCAACAGAGTCCCTGGGAAATGCCCGGGCAGGGTTAAATGGGCCTCTCTGTCACCTGCTTTTCATAATCTGTTAGAAATTAAACAAAACGCTCACTCTCGGCTGCGCGCACCCTTTGATATCTGTGGGTAATGGCTCCTTTCGAGGCGCAGAACGCATTACCCGATGTCAATAACAAATTGTGTATGAAGAAAAATGTAATGCTCTCAGAATGTTTTCTTTTGGGCTTTGTCCATGATTAGATTATACTAAATTACAGAGTATAGATATCAGGCAATTACTCTTTGCTTTTAACTATTCAATTTCATGGCAAATCCGCATAGCTGGGTAATTACGAAATCACACCGATGTGGTTACTGAGAAAATACCTCATCATCTCCATCTTGTGAAGCGGGGCTCAGGTTGCCCTGCAATTACCTGTGGTCCTGTTAGGGGGAAAGAACGTGGCAACCCAGCGCACGAGCGGCGCTCACCTCCCCGTCAGCCGGGAGGGTCCTGCAGGTGCTTCTGGATAGCCCTGCACCTGGCAGAGGAGGCACAGCCCTGGCCCTGGCCCTGGCCCTGGCCGCCGTGGGCCAGCCCCTCCCGTCTCGGACCCTGCCTGGTTCCCGGCTCTCTCCTGGAGTGTGAATCAGAAGTGTGCCCCTCTCTCTGCTTCTGTTTTGTGAACATTTCTTTTCTCTTGGCTCAGCTCACAGAATCCCACCCCCCATTCTGCCCCCAGTTTTAATTTCTTCCAGGGCCGCGTGGTGGCCTGTAAGCGATCCAGCCTGCTGTCCTGGAACCTGGAGGAGCTTGTTTGGCAAAAAGAAAAAGAAAAGAGTTATTTGAGCCGATTGTGATTGCGAGAAATCGAACAGTGGCAGCAGGAGCAAAAGGAGGGAAGAAAGGAGCCGACACCTGAGAAGAGGCCGTGGGCACTGCGCATACAGATGTGGGTGGGAGCTGGGTGCCTGCTGCAGCTCCTTACCGGGAGGCACATCAGAGGCACGGGGTGGGGGGTAGGGGGTTGGGGACAAGTGGGCCTCAGAGCCCAGAGCCAAGCAGGGCTTTTCTGTAGCAAAGAGAGCACCTGAGTCTTCCCCCAGTCTTGTGCTCACTGAACCAATTCCCATTTTAAAAATGCAGACCATGCAGGGCATGCATGCTGGGAGGCTGAGGCGGGAGGGTGGCAAGTTTGAGCCCAGCCTCGGCAATTTTGCAAGATACTGTCTCAAAAAGAAAAAAAAAAAATTAAAGAAACAGATGCAGATTACTTGAAGAGAAATTGCCAAGGGATCTCATTTCTCTCCCTGCAGACTCTCTGTCATTGCTGCTGGAGGAGGGCAGGGTCTTAGGAGAAATTCTCTAAGTGGTATAAGGGGGTCCCTATCCGGGGTTGATGTAGGGGACGTGATCTCACCAGAGGGGCAGATTGGAGCAGAGGATGAGGGAAGGCCACAAAAAGCTGTGGGTTTTTTGCATGGGAGGAGACTGGAGCCTCTTGGTTTTCTGCTTCTCAGGGTGTTTTAGAGACCTGGGGCGAGCTGGTGTGGGGTCTTGGAGGTGACTCGCGCACAGCATGCTGGGTACATCCCTGCGTCTCCTGTTTCTCTCCCGCAGGCCTGGCACAGAGCCCTTCCCCTTCCAGCCAGGCCCCACGTCTTGACAGCGTCTCTCAGGAGCTCAGAGCTGCTCTGGGGTGGATCCGGCTTTGCGGTGGAACCATGTGGGTGCAGGCAGTGCCGCAGAGGCTGCATCCTGCAAAAGGCCCAGGCGTCCCGGGGAGAGTTCGGAGCTCCCCAGACAAGGGTCCTCCTGAGAGGTTGGGGTCTCTTGTTCGGGTCACTGCTTTCCATGGCTCACCCCTCACTCGCGGGAGCGAGGAGCGTTACAGAGGAGACACGGTGTCTAATTGCTGGTAACCTATGGGTGGAGGGAGCTGTGAGTGCTATATGGCCCCCGTTTATAAATAAATGAACACTCATTAATATAAAATTATATTAGAATGAAGTTTCGCGTGCAGTTTTGTTTAGAAGGCAGAAATAAGTGGGTTGGCTCTGCAGTTTTGCTGCGGATGCTGCAGCCTGCGGTCACAAGGTGATAATAATATCAGTCGTTTGCTCCCTACTCCAGCCTTGACCCAACCTCCAGGCAAAAATTACCACCTGCCTTGTGCAAAGGCTCCTTGAGGCTGAGGGGCTGGCTGGAAGGTACTCAGCAAGCGGCTCGGTGCCGAGGCCTTAACATCCTGGGCCGGTGAGACCTCGAGCAGTCAGGAAGGAGAACGACTGGGACCCGGGAGAACGGGATGCGGGTCTTGCTTTGGCATCGGGTTACTTGTGGGGAGACAAAAGCCACCTCTCGGGGCTCAGGTTTGCCGGTGACGCAGGGCCAAGGGACCCTGCCCATTGCTCGGATCTGGATGGGAGCGAACGGTCCACTCAGCCCTTGCTTGGTGCTCGTGTACGCGCCGTTGATGGCCAGTTCCCTTTGGATTCTACACCCCCTTCCTTGCAACCTGAGTTTGCCCTTTGAAAATTAGAATATTAACTAAGAGAGGCGGCTCTGTGAACTTCATGCTTTATTTGCTGGAGAGGAATCTGCCTTGGAGAGAGCCCTCCTCTCGAGCGCTGCGGCTGTCTGTCCGCCTGGCCGGCCGCACTCAGGAGGGCGGGCGCCCCCTCGGTCCTCGCTGGAGCAGCTGTCACCGGGCTGTGGGAGGCACAGGTTTGCAGCTCAGCACTGTCTGCTTAGGAAGCCGCGCCTAGGCCAGGTCCGGGGAGGAGCGGCGCCCGGTGGGGTGGGGTGAGGCGGGAGGCTGTGTGTGGGTGGGGCCCCAGCTGTCCTAGCCCGGGGCAAGTCACCTCCCAGGTTCTCATCTCTGGTCTCTGACACCAGCCCTTGGACTCTCTCCTCTGCTCCAGGGACTAGAAGTAATCGGTGGCTATTGGTCAAACAAGACCCAGCTTTGCACAAGTAACTCAGGCAGACCCGAAGTGGGCAAGGCCAAGCGTGGCGCAGCCCTTAGGTCTGCAGAGTGGACGGGGGGAAGCAGAACCTGGCGCCTCCTCCGTCTGTGCTGCGGGGCTGGGCAGGGGCTGGTTTGTCCTGGCCCTCTGCCACCAGGGTGTCTGGACCCAGCAGAGCTGGAAGAGGGGGCTCTGCGGCCACCGGCAGGTGACAGAGCCTGCCCGCCCCCTCTGCGGTGGCCCTCCCCTCGGAGATGGGGTGGCCTGAGGAAGACAGATCTGTTCTCAGGTGCAAAGTGGGGGAAAAAATGAACCACCCTCAAACCCTGCTCTGATGCCTGCTAGAATATTAGCACCAGGGGCGGAGCCCAGCCTGGCCCAGCCATGGGACCACCCGCCTGCCCTCCGCGTACCAGGCTGGGCCGGCGGCAGCAGCTCACTCAGCAGTGCTGCCAGGACGGCCTGGTCCTTTTCCAGCTGCCTGGCGCGCAGCCCCATGCCGATTTCCACAGGAGCAGTCAGCTGTGAAATAGGGCAGAGTTAACAAGAAGGGAGAGGTGCGCAGAGGGCCGTTAACCCCTGGATGCCCTCCCAGGTGGCACGAGGGACCCATGGGAGCTGCCCCATCCCTGCGCTGCCCAGTTTTCACCAGGGGCTGAGGTGGAGGGAGTGATGGTGGCAGGAACCCCACCTGGCTCCTGGGGAGAAAATTCACCCCAAAATGAGAGTAACCGAGGCCAGTGTCACTAGGTGCCAGGCAGCTCTGAGAGCCTTTTCTGCACTAAGTCTCAAGGGTAGGGATCGGTATGTGCCCATTTTGAAGATGAGGAGCGGAGGACAGAGGCTGAGTGACTGGCTTGAGGTCCCCAAATGGCCAAAGGAGAAGACATCCCATCCTGGCTCCAGGCTCTGCCTTCAAGACCCCTACCCTATCCTTCTGTCACCTGTGGGGACCCAGCCCAGCCCCTCCAAGGGAGCCAGGAGCCAGAGCAGATGTGGGGCGGACGGGAGCCCCATGCCGCTGAGTATGGTGACGGCGTGGGGGCAGGGCTGGAAGGTCGGCGGCCTGAGCATCCACGGGAGCCTGCTCTCCTCTGTCCCCTCGGGGTGCACTTGAAGTTGCCTCTGCTGGTCGGCATGGTCTGCAGCCCTGACCCCTCTGCACCAGACACTACAGCCCCGGGCAGTTCAGAGCCATCCGACCTCCGAGCTCCGTGCCCACCCGCAGCCTCGCGATCCATCCTGCCGGCTGTTCCTGCCACAGACCTTGAAGTTGGCTTTTATGTTTCTCTCTCTTCACATCCTGTATCCATTCTTTGAGAAAACCCTGCTGGCTTCTACCTCCAAAACATTTCCAATCTCCCTCCCTCCCTCTCCAGCCTCTTCAGTGGTCTCCCCAGTCCCTTCACAGTCTGTTCTCAGCACTGCAGCCCAAGCTGGAGCCCTTTGGAATGGAAAGCAGATCGCCTTCCTCTGCTCCTGGCCCTCAAGTGCTCCCACCTCAGCAGAGTGAATCTGAAGTCCTAGCAGTTCCCTGCCAGCTCACAGTCTGGCCTCAGCTGCTGTCTCCCCTGGCTCTCTGTGATGACCACTCCAACCTCCCCACTATTCCCGAATCCCCTGCCCCAGGGCCTTTGCACTGGCTGTTTCTGCTGCCCTGACCACTCTCCCCCATTTGTCCCTGTGGTTCATTCCCTCTCTTTCTTCAGGTTTTGCTCAAACACCATTGACTCACAAAGCCTGCTTTGTTCCCCCTGTTTAGACCTCAACCTGCTCATCTCATGCTCAGCTGTCCCTGTAGCACCCACAGCTGATTGCCGCACGCAGGATTGGCTCATTAGTCTTGTTTGTGGTCTGTCCCTGTCCTTCTGGGGTCTTGTTTCTGCTTCCTCACAAGGCTGGGCTGTCTGTTTTGCTCACCGCTCTGTCTCCTCTGCGGTGTCCACATTAAAGGCTGGTTTCTTCATCTTTTGGACAAAGGACCCGAGGGTTAAGAGAGCCGCCCACACTGTCAGACTCTCAGCACCCCCACCTCGCAGCTCCACACCGAGGCACCGGCCGGGTGAACCCCAGCTGCCTCTGGGGTCCTGGTGCCCAGGCCTTGCCCGGGCTGGCCCTTCCGCCCCTCCTGAGTGCCCAGGCTCCACAGGAGCTCTGAGCAGGGTGCTGCGTGTGCCTGGGCGGCTCCTTCTCTTCCACCAGATTCCAAGTGAGGCCTGTGTTCTCTCCCCGGGACCAGGCAGAGACCCGCCGGCCCCACGCACCCCACCGTCCTTCCCTCCCTGGTGCCAGCAAGCTGGGCGCTGCCTTTGGTCGGGACAGGGCCACGGCCCATGCTGCTTCTCTGCAGCGCTTACCTTCATCACCCTGTTTTCTTCCTCCTCCGTGACCTCTTGGGGCTCTAGGGGACCTGCGTCCTCTGACCTCTGCTGTACGCTCAAGGATTTCTTTTGCCCTTTGCTCTGCTCCCTTTCCTGGGGACAGAGCATTGTACAAAACTGTCCCACCTCGGCCCCCAGATGCCCTTTACCTGCCTCCCACTGCCCAGGCTGCCCTCAGCCCCGACCCCCAAGAACAAGAAGACCCCTCGTCCCAGACGCCTCTCGTGTGCGGAATCCCGGAGGCCTGGTGGCTGGAGGCCGTGTGGGTTCCCCCCGGCCACCTCGTGGAGGAGTTTTCCCTTTGCAGTTAAAACACTGCACCCAGCTTGTTACTGTTAATTAAGTTAAAATGCCGAGAATAATGGCTGCCTTTTGTGCATATTAAGTGTGAAAATGTGTCTTTCTTAGCAGAGAGCCTATAAAAAAGGTAGCAAGACAGCCCGGCCTGTGAGGACGCCGTGGGGTGGCCTAGAACTCAGAGTCCCTGGGAGGTGATTTATAAGAGGCAAGACCAGGGATGAATTATAGAGGAAGGAGTTTGCAGTGTCTTCATAAAATCCTGGGGCCTGGCGCTTACGCGGAGGAAAACCACGGAGCGGAGCCACCAGAGGCAGCGCTGCCCTGCCCTGCTGTGCTGCGGGCCTGTGTTGACTGGGTTTGCCCGTCTGCCCAGCCCTGGAGCTCACCCAGCAGGCTGCGTGCCCCGCCCGCAGCCCTGAGGTCAGACACCCCTGCCCTAGGTGTGGACCTGTCTTGCCCTGTGGCTCTGGAACAACTGGTCTCCCCGGGCGTGGCAGGAAGGCGTGTGGAGTCGCCTGTCCTGCAGGGGGCGCTGCTTTCAGCCGGGCTGTGCAAAGGGCCCAGTTGCCTGGGAAGCTGAGAAGCCAGGCCTTGCAGGGGTGGAAAGTTCCATTTTTTCTCCGTCCTCGGTTAGCAGGAACCGCAGTCCGAACAACCAGTGGCTCCCTTAAAGTCTAAAGCAAGAGCTGGCTGGAGGCAGAGCCAGCGCCCAGCCTCCCTCTGCCTACCTGCTTTCTTCTGGGCTCTGAATGGGTGTCGCGCCCCAGGAGGCTCCCTCCCGCCCCTCTGTCCTTATGGCCAGGGCACCTGCTGCAGCCTCGCCTTTCTGGGGTGGGGTTTCTCCCTCTGAACCCCTAGCGGAGCACCAGCCTCACCAAAGGGTGGTTAATCACGTCCTGCCCGTGACATCGCTCTTTTGTCTTCCGTTGTTAGTTAATTTTTCATACCTCGTGTTGGGCCCGCAGTCTGCTCCTCTAACACGGGAGGGGCTCAGTGTTCCTGCTTGCTCAGGCGCCTCGACAGGGCGGCCCCTGGCAAAGCAGGGAGTAAATACTCATCCGCTGACGATTGAAAACCTCCTCGGAAGGAGGGGCGGCGGGGAGGCAAGCTGGCGTTCGGTTCTCCTGTCCGGGTGCGGCCCGCTTCAGCTGCGTCGCTGGGGCAGCCCCGGGGCTTCTTACCTGCATCCTCCGAAGCTCGCTGTACGTGAAGATGGGAACGAAGGCTTCCGTCTGGGCGGCCAGCATGGCGGCTGCGTGCACCACCAGCAGGGCAGCCGCGGCCTTGGTGGACACCATTCTGGAGCTGGACAGGTTGGGGTGCGGGTTGGACTGCCACGTTGCAGGCAGGAACCCGCCACTCTGGTCCACACGCCTCTGTGGCTGTGTGATCCTGAGCAGGAGCTTGGCCTCTCAGGACCGGGACTGGGACCGGGGCCTGGGGGCCGGCCTTTCCCTGGTGAGCGCTAAGCAGGGCCAGGTGACCGAGCTCCTGGGGAAGGCTGCTCAGTGCCTGCACACACAGGGAGAATCGCTCTCTTGGGAGCTCTTCTTGTCATTAGACAAGGTCTTCTGGGGTCAGCTGGTCCCTCGTGAGGCAGGAAGGACCTCCTTGCTCAGAGAAAGAACTCCTAGATTACCATCAGAACCCAGCGCATTGCCCCTGCTTTATGTACTCATTAGGATGAGGAAATAGGTGGGCCCAGGCCCCTCAACCCCAGCCTTTCCCAGAAATACCAGGGAAAGGCTGACGCCCTCTACCCGTGTGGAGGGAGAGGTCAGCATCCAAGGGCTGAGACTGGCCCCCCTGGTGTGGGTGGGCACCACTGTGAGGCGTGCTGGCTCCGGACAAGCCCCTCCCCTGCTCCAGTGCTGGCTCTTGGCCGCCATTCAGAAACAACAGGCCGGGGCTCCTCCCTGGGCCCTGCCGACCCCCAACCCCGGGAGTGCTGGGCAGCGGCTATGTCAGCAATGGCTGGTGGGACACAGGCTGCGGGCTTCGGGGCATAGGTCCTGCCAGGGGCTGCAGGGCATGGGGGCTGCAGAGGTGCAGAGACCTGAGGAAGGGGTCCGCCTGGTCCTGGGCAGGGGAGGCCTGGCCTGGCCTGCGCCTCAGCGACTCAGGGCTGGGATGCTGGCCTGCGAGCCCTGGCGCTTTCCCACCTCCCCGCAGAGATGGGGAAAGGTCACTCCTTGGGCACCTCCAGGTCTGTGCTGGGGACTGAGGGGTGAGGCCTCCGAGCAGGAGGGGAGGCTGCATGGCCTCAGGAAGGGCTCAGGAGGCCGCGAGCTCCAGGGCCTGGACCCCGTGTTGGTCTGGGCTCCCCCAGGCTTCCCTGAGGCCCAGCTCCAACTCTGCCTTGGAGAGGAACTTTCTGCCTCGTGCTGGGACCTGCGGCCTTGGTCACTGGGGCCACCCCCAGCAAGCAGAGGGGGCCGGCCTCACCCCCCCACCTTCCAATTCCCGCTCCCTCCCACTGCTCTATTCCCCGGTTCCTACGCACTCTATTTTGTTCAGATTCCATGAGCTACAACAGGAGGGCGCAGACTGCCTGAACCGCTGCCCCCACTGCGCACCAGCATGCAGCAGCTGGAAGGGCCACTGGCCCGCAGAAGGCCCCCGGGGGGGAGTCTGAGCCCCACGCAGAGCCCTGTGGCCGTGAGCTGCTCGGAGGGTGTGCCAGGCAGCAGAGCCCCGCCCCGTCCTCCCTGCACCCCCCTTGCCTGTCCCCCCCTGTGCAGAGTCCCTGGGGTCCGTGCTTCCCTCCTAGTGGAGATGGATGTCACGTTGGTGGCGTCCCATTTCCTTACAGAGATGCTTAGATCTTTTCCATTCCAGTGTTTGCATTTAATTCACTCCATAAGAATCAATAAAAACTTTAAATAAAAAAGGCAAAATCCAATTGCCGCTCATTTTCTTGATCCACCTGGCAGTCGCACATCATCTACTTCGTCTGGGTTCTGGGGAGCCGGGGCTGGGAGCTGATCCCTTCGGGGCAAGGCGCCGACTTCCTTCTGCAGCTCTGCTCTGCCCCTCGCCCTCCCGCAGCAGCGCCAGGCCAGGCGGTCTGCTCAGCTGTGGCTCGGGTCCTGGCTTGATGTTGATGTTCTAAGCTCCCGACATCAGCTTCAGCTTTGCCTGGACCCGCACCTACGCACTTCTCTCCAGCCTCCAGCCTGAGCCCAACCTGTGCACTTTGACCCATTCCCTTGGGCATCAGCGGGGGCCTGGGTCAGAAGCCCACCCAGAGCTCTGCGCAAAACTCTCTGTTGCCTTGGGGTCAGGCTGACCGATTCCACCCTCCGTTTCCTGTGGGTACTCACAGCGGGTTGTGGTCTGAGCAGTCTGGGGGGTGCCTGCCCGTCCTCTGGGGCTCAGCCCGTTCTGGTGGCCCATATATAACCCCTGCCTTCCTTTGGGGCCATTAACCTTTGGCCACACCGCTGGGGACTCTGGGTGGGGAGCTGGATTCTTGAGGCTCACGGAAACCATGGGCGCTGCCTGCCTTGCTGTGGGCTTCTGGGGCTTTCCTGGATGGCCTCTTTCGTGAGTCAGCCGGAGTTCAGTGGAACCAGCCCCCCGCCAGTGGCCCTCTCCCTGTCCAGTTAGAACCTGGTGCCACTGAAAGCATCTTTTTTTTTTTTTGTCTTTTTGAGACAAGGTCTTGATTGCAGCTCAGATTGGCCTTGAGCTCACTTTGTAGCCCAGGCTGGTCTCGAACTTGCATCGATCCTCCTGCCTCAGCCTCATGAGTACTGGGATTACAGGTATGTGCCACCACGCCTGGCCTGAAAGAATCATTTTAATGAGAGTCTTTTCTCTTTTGGTCCTTATATATACAATGCTGAACACCTCTGGGCCAAATCTTGAAGGATGGGATTCTGTGAAAGGGTTGGATCGGAAAAATAACTTCTCTTCCATCTCCCCCTGAAAGAAGGCATTCAGGCAATTGTGGCAGAATCTCAGTCAGTTAATGAAAGAAAAGGACTGCATCTAGACCCAGGCCCGTGCAGGGCCCAGGCCCAGAGGGAACTGAAGCAATGTGGATGGTGTAGTGAGGGGCAGAAGATTCTAGAAGTTTGTACCCAAGATAAGGAGGCCCCAGGCCTACCCAGGAAGTGTTCTCTGATAACCATGTAATTTACACAGGAAGTCTAGAGATTTGAGGAAGAAAGATGACCCTTGTCTAGGGTTACACCACCTGTCATTGCTGCTGGCCACATCACCTCCAGATCCCCAGGAGAGCCGGACAGCACACTATGAGGTTGGTGCTGTGAGGTCTCTCCTTTTACTAAGGAAACTGAGGCACAATCAAACAGCTCCTCTGGCCCAGCTACAAGGTCTCTTCCTACCAGGTCAAGGCTGGATGTGGCCAGCTGGGAGGAGGACTGCGGGGACGCAGGGCACAGAGCCGTACACAGGAAGCAGCCTCCCATGGGTTCCCTGTGTGGCTAGGAGCAGCATGGTCACACCCTAGTGTGGGATTTGAGTATGGATGTCGGGGGACCAGGGCTTCTCGTGGCATCATAAAGGGGATACCATGAGCATATCGTACTGGACAGTCATTGGATGTGAGGAAAAGGCATTAGAAAAGAGAGAGGCTGAGGCGGGAAAATCTCAAGTGGCCACTTCCCCAGGGGAATCACGATGACCAATAGCAGCTTCCAGAGCAACACCCCAACCTCCAGAGGAGGAACAGGAAACCTCTTGTTTCTGCGCCAGAACCGCTGCCTGTCAGTCCTTCTGTCCACTCTGGCTTTTCTCTCAGAAAGAAACCAATTTCCACAGGGCATCCAACACACAACGGCTTAGCCCCGCCCCGCACTCAGCCCGGGCAGTGGAAGCGGCCGGCGGCGTGGCGACCTCACTTCCTGCCAGCAGGTCTCTGCGTCCCCCGCCCACCCTCCTGCAGCCACTGTGCCAGTGACACCGGCAGATGTGCACAAGGGGCTCCAGGGGCTCTTGAGGAATCAGAGCTTGAAATGCCAGGGCCTGCAATTGACTGGGGCGCCTTCACCTGCCTGGTTGGAGTCTCTTTGCCCCAGTTTCAAGAGTCGCTCTGACGAGGTCCCTTGACGCCACGGTTGTGGCAGAGAGGCCATCAACACTTGCATGTCCAGCATGGAGACCGGAGCCCACCGCCTGCCTCAGTACAGCCTGTGAGCTGACAGTGGGACTCCATCTTTTTAATAACTAAAAAAAAAATTGAAAGAATTATATTTAAGGACGTGTGGATTCAGTTTCCATGTCCATGAACAGTTTCCCTGCAACACCGTCACTCTCACTCATTCCTGCGTTGTCGTGGCTACAATGGCAGAGCTGGGGCAGGTGACGGAGGCCTCCGGGTCCACAAAGGTGAAGGTGTTTAGTCTCTGGAACTTGGTAGGAAACAGGGTGGGTACACTGTGGCCCAGTGACCTTCTCCAGAACTACCCTGCCTGAGCCGTGCCTGCTGCGGCCTGAGCCATCCGACGGGGCAGGGTGTGGAGCTGGCATGCAGAAGCCAGGCCTGGGCTGGGAGGAGGATGGAGAGGAGGAGTCAGATGACCCCACAGAGCTCGGGAGAAAGTTGAATCTGCTCCCCGAGGACCGCACAGCAGAGATCTTCGGTCTGCACCCTGTTTCTGCAGGCTAATGAGGGCTCTGGTCCAGAGACGCCTTCCAGACGCTTGGAACCCGAGACAGGCCTGCAGTGAGGGGTGGGCAGAAGGCAAGGGTTGGAAACAGTAAATAACTCGGGATCAATTTTCTGGGCATGGATGCACTATCCGGAATCTCTCCTGTGATTCGCTATTTCTGACCCAAGAAACTTGCAGTCCTAAGTCTGAGGGCTGCAGTCTGGTGAGGAAAGAAGGCAAATCGGGGTCCACAGGCACTCTCCCTGTGACGCAAGTGGACCATACGGATGCGGGGGGGGGCTCCAGGTCCGCTTCCGGGTCAGGGTGTCGGGGTATAAGCTTCCGGCAGGAAGGGCCTCGGCTGCCCCTCCAGGTTGAGATCTTGTGGTCGGCCCTTTGGGAATCTTTCCTCGCTCCCCTCTCTCAGGCGCTGTGGGCCTTGATGGGTATTTTCCGCTGACACAGATTTTGCCTGAGGAATGGAGAGGAGCCTGGATAACAAGCCTAATAATGGCTACTTTGCCTTTACCATGCACATCAGCTGTCCCTACACATGCTCAATTAGTGGCTGTTTCTCCTGCTAGAAACCGAACAAAAATAAAGAGAAGGCATGATTCGATGTTCTTCATTTTCCGGATGGGCCCGGCCAAGGTCGTGCAGCGGCCGGGGCCGAGGGAGGC